TATATATATATATATATATTGGAAAACTGACGGTGAACACACAGCATACAGTACTATTTTCCTAACTGTATCTGTAAAGCAGTTAGATATTGGTTTATTTTTTTAGATACTTGCTTCAGTTAAATATATGGTGGAAACAAAGAAATTAGGTATAGTGGGATTGACACCCTCACCTGGGCAGGTGGGGTGCCTGTAATTAATTCATTTACATAAAATATAGAGTTTACACTGTCAATACACAACTTTAAAAAAAAAACTATAATGCATAGGGGAGGAGAAAGTTAACAGAGAGAGAATTACAAGATGGAGAATCCCACTCTTGGTGACAAGATTAAAGTTCATGTAACCAATGAACTGAACTACTAACATTTCTCATCAGTATACATAACTTATTCCCTTATAGCTACTAACCTATAATTTCTAGCACAGTAGTTGCCCTACGTGCCAGGCAACTCGCACATTAAAAATAGAATCAAACAACGAGAGCATTACAGTATATGCATACCATGTCATTCTGATAAATAATGCTAATGATCACTTTCTAATAGTTTAAACTTTTAAATAAAGCAGTTCACAGACAGGTACAATAACAACAGCAAATTCAGTGAAATCCCACAAAAGAGTCTGAGGAGGGTAGTTCGTTTGCAAACTTTATCCTACTTGGAAAGGTAGAGAGGTTGTTTCGATAGTTCACAAAGAGTTAAATATAAGTATATATCAGAAGATGCTCGGGTCCTGAAATATGCCTCATTTTCACATTAGGCATAAGTATTTTCATCGTTTTACACAATAAGAGAATCAAGCTGAATGTGAAAACGTGTTTGCAGACAAAATAAATAAAAACCATCTCATTTTTCGTAATTTAAATTTTTGCATTAGAAAGTTCATACAGTAAAACGGTTCATTCCCACCTTTTGGGAAGTGACCAAGAATCTATACAAGAGAATTTATCATTGCAAATTGAGACGAGGTAGAGGAGATCACGGAAGATAAAATTTATTCTCCTTGATTAAAGGAGAAAGAGCACACTTAAGTTATAACAAATTAAGGATTGCGTAGGTTACACAAAATGCAGTGAAGCTTCCACTGCCCATTAGGTATCTCTATGGTTTCTTATCTTTATTATACAACTAAAATCATAGATACAAGGTATGCTCCCTCCAAATGATGGAGCATTCTGCATTTAAAATTAGTCTATATCTTAAAGAAAATGTCTAAATATTGAGACTAGGACAAAATTACATTTACATCACCCTAGTCCCCGGCGTAACTATCTAAGCTTCGGCATGAATACAAAAACTGAAGCACCATGGAAAGAACAGAAAGAAAAGGCAGGATTCGAAAGCTGTACATTGCGTAGCTATCACTAGGCAGCTACTTATTAGTCTTTTGTTGCATGTTGAGCTGCCTCAACGTACTGCTCTGCAAGTTTCTTGATTTTCTCCCCTTCCTTGATGAGAAAATTAGCATTTTTGTCCTTTGGGTGATACTTCATGACTTTCTCAGTAGTTTTGCCCACAGCCCATCTGTATTGTTCAACAGAGATCACTCCGCTCTTGCAAAGTGGCCTGATGTGCTCCTTCACATATGCTTCAACCTGAGGATAATTTAATTAGTAACCAAAAGAAAAGAGCTCACTAGTGGGATTACACTAGGTTTTGTTGTTGTTGTTAACGGAAAGAAAAGAGCCCAGTAAATATTCCTGTTTAGAAGTATTTAGACATTCAACTCCACTTGGAATATTCCTCTTAATTGTTAGTCAGATAGGGAACCCTGATAAACATGAAAGCAAGTGTTCATTCAGTACCTTCGTTGATACAGAGTTATTGCTGCCTGATTCCTTTTCAGCACGGGATTTTGATATCTTGTTCACTTGTAGATTTTCATTTCTTGCTAGCTGGCTAGGTGAGTTTGGGCATTTGGAAGCAGTAGAGCTGCTGTCATTTCCCTGCTCCGAGGACTTTGAAGCCTGTTTGGATTCATCAACTCCATTGCTTTGTCGAACTTCATTGTTCATAGCCAGTTCATTAAGCTTGAGCGATGCCATTTCAGGGTACTTCTCAATCAGCGGCTCTTTATCTGGTCCATACAACTCTTCACAGTCTACACCAGAGAGCTCTTCATCAATAAGGGAACTATTTTGAGAATGAATAAGGGAACTATGACTAAGGCAATTTTCGGTCTTGCCAGCTGCAGTTGAGCTTCCAACTCTACAACTTGTTTCACACCCAATCAACAAAGATGAGTCTACAGGACCTTCAAGAATTTCCTGCTTTTCGTGATTTTGAAGTTCCATAGAGCCATCATATCCCACAGGGTTGATTGTGGAGAAGACAACTTTCATTTTAGATTCTCCTGGCTGCAGCGCAGAGATCACTGAAGTGCCAGCACCAGAAAAGTCATCATCCTCCAAATTATATTCAAAATCCCCATATATATCAAGTTCTGGAGGAGCATCTACTTCAAACACATTCTCGGGCCCGTGATCTTCAACTTCTTTTGATACGCAAATTTCCTCTTTGACTTCCTCCAATGGGCAAGTTGGACTATTTGGAGGTGAATCAGACAAAAGTCCTGCATTTCTTAGCGCTTCATTGACTGCTGGATCAGAAGAATGGACCTCGCTTAATTCTTCGGATGAGTTAGTTAGAACTTCTGAAGTTTTGCAGGGATTTGACTCTCCCACAACAACATTACTGGCATTGTCTGATCTACGCAGCAGCTCTTGTGAGCAGAGGTTTATATATACTAGTTTACTATTAGACCTATCAGCAACCTCCTTTTCAATATTAACAGCGTCTGCAATTGCCAGTTCTGTTTCTGCTGTTCTGCGCATAACTGACAGATTTGCTTTCCTTAAGAAGTGCTCAGTGAGACGGTGAAGTTGAGCCTGTGAGAAAACCAGAGGAAAGTTGATAAATTATATATAACCAAGATAAGTGATTTGTGGTTATAGGAGAACAGAGCAAACCCCTGAAGTGGAAGCTATGTCCTATTAAAGACAAACAACATGATATAAGAAAAAAAAATCCCCTATCTTCCCTCTCTGTTATATTATAGAGAAGAAACGAGTACCATTCATCTCTAGGTTATATGGATCTGTACCCCAATAAAATCATACTAAACTAGGGATTTTGATAGACTTTTTTGCATCATTCCAATTTTATCGGTTGTCCCGAAGGGACGAGACTTTCAATTGATCCTACTATGACACGTGAAGGATTAACAAGCTGTTAGATGCCAATCAGCATATGGAATAGATGATGGTGGAATTTGTGATGATAATTTTGATATCCAGGGAGAACGGCTTCTAGACTATAGCTATCTCCTAGGAGTTCAGGGTTCTCAATTAAATTTGAGAATCAAAGATCAAACATGAAACAAAGAAAATAGAGACGTGCTTCACAACAGTGCTTTCAGTAGCAAATGCCTTGCTGCTTCAATAGAGAGTAAAGCAGAGGAAAAAAGGCAAAGAAAAGAAGTGTTGAGATATGTCGCATACAATTCAAGAATAAATCGCAATACACACAAACAACAATTCTACTGGCAAAGGAATTGAAAAAATAAGTGAAATATTTATTGTTTTGTGTTGTCTTAACTCTTATTCAAGACAAAGCCACTGGGTGAAGAGACGTGCACCTCCGTGTCTTAGTGACTGGAACTGAAGCTGTCTATGCAAGGTGAATAACTCAATCTGCTTCAATCTAGCACTCTAATCCCAACATTCTAGCACTAACACTAAGACACCTAGTTGAGTTTGCTGACTTCGAAAATTTGAAAGTAAATGCTGTCAATAAATTGCGAGGTTAAGAAAAAAGTTGAGGTTATCTTGAATCTCGTCGGAGAAGTTGCTGCCCAAATAATAGCCGCAAAGAGGTGCACTGATGCTGAAACAGTCACCATTAGAGGAACGATGACATAAGAATAGTCATTGGAAAGAGCCAGGAAACAGCCGAAACTGTCGCCAGAAAGAAAAGGGGTGCCATCAGAAGAAGGTGCCATGCTAGCGGAACAGAAATAAGAAAGAGTGGTGTCCCTAGAACAGTCACCAAAAAAGATAAGATTGTGACTGAGCATACAATGTAAAGACGCTTGTAGATAAGGGGAGGCTACTAGAGCCTCTACCAAAATGATACCAAAAAAATAAGGAAGAGACTTGATAATGATGAATACAATCCACACCAATTTATACATGCTAGGCACATTTTTTCGTGGAACAATATCCAACTTTTACAACACTCTTACTCTAACATTTCTAACAGTAATACCAAACATTCTAACACTTTGAATATCACAGACTATAGAATAGCAAAATTATCACCCCAGGTAACAACAAGTAAACTTGGAAAAAGGCTGGAAATTAGGACAGTGCTTACCATCCTAACAGACATGGGGATTTTATTAAGACGACTGGGTGCCAAAGCTGGCCGCATATCTTTCGGTAGCTGAGCCTGCTCAAAAGTTTACAAACAAGAAATGATTCCAGGTGCAGAACAATAGGCAGCAAACAAATGATACAAAAGGAAAAAAAGTTAACATACTAGCAAAGGATAATTATGTTTCAGCACTGCACTGTCCTCTTCATTTTCCAGGGCGTCACTCTTGCTTGTTGCTGCTGTTTTTCTAGCAAGAACCTCTAGGGCCCACTTCCTCTTATCACTCTTTGTATTATCACATTTTACAGCTGCTTCCTCCTTGGTACACAATTTAGAACTACTTGATGTTGATGCAGATGGCCTTTCAGCGCCTTTGATAGAAAGTACATTCCTGGTAGCATCAGCCTTAGTGATCAGGACACTTATCTTGGCCCCCTTAATTTCCATGGGAGAAGCCACCATCACAGACGCCACATTTACTGGTGGAACTACGTTGAATGGACTTGGAAAAGACATTGAAGCGTTCGATGTCAATCCATTTTGTTTGTTCTGATCAGCTGCGACAAGAGTATGGGACGAAACAGGCTTGATATCCTCCTTTCTTGGAAAAACCGAATTATCTGCTAAATAAAGCCTTGATAAAATGGAAGACTTTCCCTCCCCTTCATTCACAAGCTTTGTCTCTACAGTTTTTGAATCATCTCTCAGGACGTCAAGAACTGACTTCAATGTCTGAATCTTCTCAGGCTTTGACATTTTTGAGCATCTGTGTTTCCAAAATTCTATTTCACAATCGCGAGTCCATGCTCGTCGTCGTCTTCCTCCAATACCATAAATTTTTTTGGTTAGGTTTTCACGTACTTTTCCCTTCTGCAGCAGTGACCTCTTTGCCTTCAGATCCACAGAAGACTTCTTAGTTTCAGTTGTAGATCCTGTCACAACAGCTCTAAAAGCAGTCAGAAGTTTCGGATCAAGCTGGTTTTCCCCTTTATCCCCAGAAGACTTGTTACGAACAGCTTCTCTAATTTCTTTCCTTAGATTTTCAACTAGCAATGATGAGTCCTCATCACCAGTTCTCCGCATGATCTTTTTAACCCTCAAGCGAGCTGCATTTTCTCTTTGTTTTGAGGACATTCCATCCTGGTTGCTAGGTGCAAGTTTCTTCAAAGTTTTACGACCTGTTCCTTGAACTATATCCATTATGTCAGTGCTAAGATTTTTATTTTCAGGTTTACTTTTCAGTTTGTCATCCTTCAAGATGGTTACTCGAGATTTATCAGAGTTGTCTGAAGCAGATCCTGGAGGTTGGTCCTTTGTATTAATTAGCTCACTGCTTCCCTCGACTTTAACTCTCTTCGAATAATAGGCAGACTCAGCCTTGGCTCTAATGCCTCCATCATCAGCATTTCTGCAACAAATCAGAGTAACTATAAGTAATCCTAAAGAAATGCAAGGACAAACGCAAACCTAATAAAGAATGCTGCAGTTGTTGAACATTTGACTCTGCCAGGTTTCAGATAGAATGATAGCAGATAGTAGTTATTTAGGGCTTATCTTCTATAGCACTTGATGATTGTTATATCTCCACAAGACTAGTGCTTACCACGACAAGAACATTGACTGGTGATAGCTACTTACGAGTCAAGCTTCTTAGGATTATATTTTTATATTTATTTTCTAAGCCATCCCAGCAGGTGCTCCTTACGCACCCCATCTACTCCCCCTCTACAGTCAACTCCCAAGGAGAGACATATCAACTCCTTAAGAAGCCTGGAATAATACTGTAATACCCCCCCCCCCCCNCCCACAAAACCAGAGCCTTCTTTCTGGTACAAACATCACTTCAGTAAAGGGCTAAACATGTCATAGGATTATCCTTTAAGAGAACCCAATACACATGAATGCACAGGGAAACTGGAAAGAAACATTGAATCACTTTCAAAAAGCATTTTAGGTGAATAAATTTGGAATACCAGATTAGGCAATTAAGACCTTGTCAGTGCGCAAGAAAATTCAAAAAGAAGTCCAGGTTACGTGGCTTATGCTTCTGAAGAGTCTGAGCATTTATGCCTAATTAATAGGCTTGACATGCTGACATGCCTTGTCTAGCTCTTAATTAATGTGGTGCTTATGTTTTCCTAAGCCGAGGGTCTATTGGAAACAGCTTCTCTACCTTCACAAAGGTAGGGGTAAGGTCTGCGTACACACTACCCCGACCCCACGATGTGGGATAATACTGGGTATGTTGTTGTTGTAGTAATAGGCTTGACATGCCTTTATCACTTAGAAAGAGAACAAGTCCAACTAGTACGAAGCATAAGAAAATCAATATGCAACTAGAAGACTGCATGTAATGTCGGGAAATGTCTAGATGTTTAAAACATACCCAATCACAATAAATATGGGGACGCATTACAATTCGATGTCTATCTTTAGTTGCTATGTCTTGCATAGTTAAAAAAAAGGATAAAAAGTTGTTGAGTCACATGAAACATCTCAATTACTAATATGTATGTCAGGGTCAAGTCCAGGGGAGTCACGCAGATGACGCACAACTAGTGGCCACATGTTTTGCCAATTAGTCACTGGTAACATGAGCTCAAGCCACTTAAAGAACCCATGTAAAGAAAAGATCATCACAAAGATATAGTTACAACTTTGTCAGACTGGATGCTAGCATCAGGATTCAAACCTTAAGAAAATCAGAAAAATAATCCTATATAAATCAAATGAAGAGGTTTGATTGCATAATACCTGTTTTCCCTGCGCTTTCTTTTTGCACCGGAAGCCACAACTTTGTCTTCATTCTTGTCAGGCATCACTTTTTCACCTGACACATCAACAACAAACACTTCAGAGAAGAAAAATATGCAAGCACATATGTACATCTCAATAAAATTTATGATGAACTAAAGTTTTTCAGAAAGCAACAGTCCTCAAGAACAAAATATTTGGAAAAGGTGTTGCTACTGTCATACCAGGACGAGGGCATCCCGACGCATTCTTCTGTCGGGCAGTTTGAAGTACTTGATCTCCAGCTACTTTCGTATCTGTTGTCTCTACTGGAGATGCATAGAACATTAATAACTGAGCTGTTTTATCTGCCCCATCTTAAGATAGATCTCCCAATTAAAAGGAACAAAAGAAATTCCCAAAACATTGTAAGCATACCATTACATGCTGAAAATGAGTTCACTGACAATCCAAGATGAAGATCAAGATTTGGTTGAATCAGTTCGTCACTAAATAACTGTGTTGATGCATCAGGCTTCACATCCACAGGGGTGGCAGAAAGCTGTGCTGTATCTGGACATTCATTTTGTGACAAGGACAGTTCAATATTGGGAGTATCAGGAACAGAATCAGGGATCAAAATGCCAGTATTTATAGCCTCTTTAGGATCTAGGTTTGAAAGGTTTCTGTCTGGTACTTCACCCTGTTTGTTCCTCTCAACAATCGAGACGACAACAGCCGTCTCACCAGCATCAGCAACAGATACAGACACTTCCCCTGAAAAAGAAGCCTCAATCAAACAGTTATTGCTGGCATTTTCTGGACCAAACTTCTTGTTAGATACTGAACTTTCGGGTATCTTGTCGACACATCTGCATAGGGAAATAATGATAAGAATCATGTTTAAAACCACTGCAGGTGCTCAAGTTGAAAATATCAACCTCCACCATCCAAAGAAAAATCTATATAGAAGGCATTAGAAGGAAATATTTTTATAGGTGGCAATTTAGGCTAACTACAAATTCTATATTTAAATTCTAAGAAAGACAACAGATCCTAACTAATCCTGAATATTCTAGGCATGATTACAGCACCTAAATTAATAAATAATCAAGTATTGTCTTTGCATAATCTTAATAATCCCCCTCAAGCTGGATCCTACATGTTATATGTCTAAACTTGCTACAATATATTCAATCTGCGGACCTGTAAGGTTTAATACAAGCATCTGCAAGTTGGTAAATTGAATTGGCGAAACCGATGACAATACATCCAACTTTAGTTTTCTATCTAGTATAATGAAAATTCACCTTTATGTTCTTTCATATTGAGATGATCTGATTACATATCAGCTTCATCTGTTTAACTACATTACACATCAACTCTTGATGAAATTGTTTCAACTAGATAAATTCACAAGCTACAAGGGGCGTAGCTCGCTGTTCTACTTCCATAATTGATGCTTTTCACTCCCGAGAGAGTATATTTCCTTCAAAGTAAATTGTCCATCTGAAGGAGAACTTGCTCAATCTACATCATAGTACCCAGAAAGACCCATGTTTTCATATAACAAACATTATGCTAAAGCTCCTTTGATGTACTTGAGAATGCAGATTAATACATCCAATAACCACTATATTAAGCATGGAGAGACTAACTAACCACACCCATTGCAATGAGCCAATGAATTATTTGATAGTGTGTCCTTGAGATAATTTAGCTTATCACTAGTCTCTGGTACTTGCCACGGTCCTCCAGTGGCACCCCTGTCCAGCAACGACATGACAGTTGGATCCATAGCAACAACATGACAGTTGGATCCACAAGAGTATCCATTGTTAGCAATACAACATGCATGTTTCCTCGAAGATGTCCATAGTGAGTTTCTTTCTAAGATAGCAATGTCCGTCTTGAACAATGCTTTTCTTGTTGTTCATCACCTGTCTTGGACGATGCTACTTCAATGCCTAGAAAGTATTTTAATTTTGCAACTTGGTTTAAAAGTTTCTGAACAGTTGTAACATTATGATCATTGCCATCATGATAACTTCATAACATAGACTGTCGGGTATCGTGATGAAAGAACACTGAGTGATCAGCTTTACTTCGAGCCATCCAAACAGTTGGACCACGGAATTGAACATCTAAATGATGCTCCATGGGTTTGTTTAGACCATATAATGACCGTCATAGTCATATCAAGCTTGACTCTCCTTGAGCAACAAACCCTAATGGTTACTCTATATCACCTGCTTGACTAGTTCACCATGCAAAAATACATTCTTAATATCAAACTGAAGAAGCATCCTATGGTATATTGTTAATGCAAAGATAACTCGTCTTCCAGAATCACCTTTCTCTAACATATTGGTGAGATAGAGTGTCAATGAAGAAAGAAACTCCCTGGGGAGTCCTCGTGCATCCCCTTTTAGATGAAACTTTTTTGCTTTTTTACTTCTCAACAAAATGAAGAACGAAGACAAGAATCAAAGCAAAAATCACCGAAAAGGAGGGCCCAAGAGCGGCAAACACAATGGACTGTAGTCAGAAGGGGTCACCGACCTCAAGTGAGTGTGCTGATGCAAAGCCAGATGAGGGAAAGCCGGAATGCCAACTTTCATAAGTCCAATTTAGATTAGTTAGATTCAAGAAGACTTTATCCATGTAGAGTAAAAATCAGAAGGTGGTTACAGATGAAAATGAGTTTCCGGCTTCAAAGGAGTCGTCCAATATGATATGGAAAATTTCTCACGCATCAACCAAAGTTGATCAGTATGTGAAGATAGCGGCTAAGAGTATGGAACTCTAGACAAAGGTCGCAGATGCTCAACGCTTCTTCCATGAATGTGGTTAGTCTAGAAGACTACTGAAGAGCCTTTTCAACTACACTGTTGATTTTCAAAAAGTCGGGTTGATTCCCTAAATCTGATAGCATGATAATTAAATAGAGTAGATTGAAAGATTGTAAAACTTGGTTATTCCCTCAAACATGGTTGGAGATTCTTAGTAAATTACAAAGATTAGGGTTTAGATAAACTACAAATTATGATTCTAGGAAAGATTATAAATTCCAAATATTCTAGACATAATTGCAGTAGCTAAGTACAAATCATGAGTAATCTTTGCATAGTCTCAATAACACACAAGTCACACACGCACAAAAAAAAACAGCTAACAGAAATATGAACATGTTCAGGTGTGCCGTGGTTAATAGAGGTACATGCAAGCTAGCTCGGACACCATGGTTATCAAGCAAAAAACATACACATGTCCAGCTGCTAAATACATAAAAAAAGGAAATGTGGAACTAAATATCCATGCTTACCTTGGGCATAGCCATGAACTTTCAGAAGTGTCCTCAGTGTCAAATCCAACACAAAAGGCATGATACCTACACAAATATATGCAAAGAATCAATCAAAGGAGAAACCCTAGAGAAAAATAGGGAAATTAAGAACTTCGGCGATATGAAACACGTTCTCAGTTTAAGAAAGTTTACATTAGGAGAAAATACAACAACAACAACAACAACCCAGTAAAATTTCACAAGTAGGGTCTGGGGAGGGTAGTGTGTACGCAGACCTTACTTCTACCCCGAGGGGTAGAGAGGCTGTTTCCGATAGACCCTCGGCTCAAGAGAACGAAAAGAGACAATATATCAGTACTATCAACAAAAAACCATAGAAGTAATAACAACATCACAAGAACTAGTAAATAGATGGAAAGCGGAAATAATAACCAGTAAATAAGGCCCGACACTATGAAAATGGAAGAGTAGTGTAAACACAACATTGACCGCTAACAGTACATTAGGAGAAAATGTAACAGAGAAACCCACTGCCGAAGAAAGAGATTATATCATTTAGAAGATACATAAGCAGGCTTTTAGAAACTGTGTATCATAATCAGGTAAGAAACTCGCATTTTGCATTAAATATCAAGGAAAATGCTAGTTGATTGAGCTATCAGACCTACTGATAAGATACCTCATGTACCTAACGGTTGTAAGTTGTAACTCAACTTATCAACTATTTTAATATTTATAAAAATGAATGGAGAATGTTAAAATATGTCTAGACTATCATATAAATGCACATGACGTCGCATTTTAATGTGAAAAGAGAGAAGATTTCTTGATTGGTTTAGTAACAATGCACAAGAATGACTCCTTATATAGAAACCCTAGGTTCTTTACCATATGGTACAGTGTTGTTATCAAAGACGACGACAACAACAATAACAACAACCCAAGTGGGGTTATCAAAGACTAAAAGCGGGGAAAAAAGCGCTAAAGTCAATTGGGGCTTTAAGCGCAAAATACAAATAAAGCACGAGCTTTATATATATATATATGTGTGTGTGTGTGTGTGTGTAGTTCAAAATAATAACTATAAACCAAAAAACAACAAAAGACAACAAAATTTATAATTAAAATTTATAATTAGGTAAAATGTTTATTGTTTAGTATAGTCCTCTTTAAGATAGACACATGAGCAATGATATGCAAGCCTTAGTGCCTGCACTGAAGCACTGATTAAGCAAGGCAAAGCATAGAACCTATTTCGCATTGAGCTTCACGGTTTAAGCACGCCTCAAGAGAGCCTTTCACAACATTGATGGTAAATAGGTATTCTCACTCTAACTTGGTCAGTAAATATTCTGCCACTGAATACAAAATATTCTATAATGTCTTGAAATATTCTTTAGTATTCTCTTACGTGAATTTTATAATTCTATATATGCAGAAGTTAACTAAAAAGATACATAACTTTCTCTGAACTTTCAAAACGCTCCCTCAAATTCAAGGGTATTGAAGTAAACCACCAAGGGTTGTAGTGGGATGGATAGGATCTCTTCACCCTTAACTAGAAGTATCGGGTTCGAGCCTTGAGAATGAAAAAAATTCTTGTAGGGAGCACTTCCTCTTTATGGGCCTTATGTGCGAATCTGGATTAATCGAGTCCCCAATGCGGGTACCGGACACCGAGTGGAAACCAAAAAAATAAGGTAATGAAGTAACTTGGTTTTGCAGATTAAAACTGGAAAGTCAAATTGAGTATGTCAGATCAGCTTTTATCTCATCATTACTGCTGTGAGAAAAAACAACTAGGCAATGGCACAACCATGAATTCATAAGGAGGAGGAGGAGGAGACATATTTTGAAACATTGACGGGAAATTCCACATTCAAAGGAGGCACTAGTACCATATCTCTATGACCATAAAGAAAGAGAAGCGAAGAAGTCTTTTTTCCGAACAATGACGGATACACAATGATTAGAGAAGGGACTAAATACACAATTCTGAGGAGGGACTAAATACACAACTCGAATATCAGAAAGAAAGAAAGAGATGATGACTTATTAAAACAGTGACCAGAAATACAGTGATCAAAGGGATTTAATTCCCAAACTTTGATACCATAGAGAAACAAATGAGAACTAGACTATTTTGGAAGAGTGACCGAAAATTCAGTGGACTACCCAAATTTTTGATACCAAAAAGAACAAAAGTAGAATAAGAACTTTTTCATAGTAATGACCTCAAATCCAATCTTCAAAGGAGGGACTAAATACCCAACTTTGATACCATTAAGAAAAAAGAAACGAAAAGAATCTTGAAAAAACATTTTGTTTGTTAAAGTTTCCAGAATACTGGGCAGAAGAGGCAGCGTTCCAAGAATGATCAGCTAAAGAGTGCTAACACAGTGATCATAGAAAAAAGACGATTCTGTCGCGTTATTAGTGGAGGTGAGAGTGGTGCCTCCATCATGCAAAAGAGACATGATAGCAAACATATTAAAAAAGAAAAGGAAATAATTGGTTGGGCAGGCGAGTGTCATGGTCCAGCCCCAATTGTCAAGGTATTATCCGCTTTGTCCTGACCCCTCTAGGCCACCTAAAAGCTTTTGGGCCTCACGGTTTTGTAACTTTGGGTTTAATCCAAAAGACGTCTCAGCAATTAAATCCTGAACTCGCGCTTACATGACCCCTAAATTTTCCCCCTCATTCGAATGTGTGATTTGCGTAAGGCAAGTTTCACAGCATAAAGTACCCCCTTTCGAGTTCAACCGCCAGCGGTCCCTAGGTGGTTGCCCTAACCCCCCTTAGGGACTCAGCATCCTCGCTGAGATTCGCCCCACCACTGTACTAGGGAGGTACCAGCTCCGATACCACCTGTCATGACCCAGGCCCAACTGTCAAGGTATTGTTCGCTTTGGGTGAACAAAGAACATAGACGGGTCTATCTCTGATACAATGCTAACAGAAATGGATATTGGATTTAACTCAGCTTCAAAAACTAGGCCAAAAGATTAGGATTGTCCAATTCAATATGATATGAGGAGACATCCATTCCATCAACCAATATGGATTAGTCTAGCAAAGGCAACAAGAATATTCGTTTAGGTATCTATGTGCAAGTCAAAGTAGGACAAATTTTGAGATGGACGTAGTAACTTTTTGTAGAATATGCAAAATATTTCAAGAAGTTCACAATAAAGAGTGTGCCCTTACGAGGCCCATGGAGTGCTTCTCAAGCTCTCATCAAATTCCAAGTTGCAAAAGCTTATAGCATCCATCCGTAGATCACTCTCCTTACTGAATCTTAGTTCCATAAGAACAATGCTAACAATTTTATATAAACCCTCTGAATAATCACATTATTCTGTTCCATCAGTGCTTTGTATACACAAATTCTAACATGCTCTAAACAGGCAATAAGCAAGACAGGGAAGGACGACAAAATAACATAGGGTTGTATTCATCTTGACATCTTCACTGTGAGAAGGCACGGGAGAAAATATGTTATTGATATATTGAATGAATGAATAATACTACACAAGAGGTCCTTATTTATAGCTATACTATACAAGGACATACTACTCCTCTACCAATGTGGGACAATACTACACTATATACATGCTGTAAATTAACACTCCCCCTCAAGCCGGTGCATACAAATCATATGTACCGAGCTTGTTACATATATAACTAATACGAGGACCAGTGAGAGACTTGGTGAAGATATCTGCAAGTTGATCATTTGACCTCACAAACTTTGTAGCAATCTCTCCTGAAAGTATCTTTTCTCTGACGAA